ATCAAATATCCGTTGTTCAAATTTCCCCAATTGTTTCACTTTTTTTTCAATGGTGAGTTAAAATCTGTCTCCAAACAAGGTCCACACATTGCATTTCTTCGCTGTCTCTTGAGACTCCCTTTCTTTTTCATGGAATGCATTTGTTAAGGAAACCAGGGTGCTTGGAAGGGTGAGCTCTGGGGATACAGGAGAGAACTGAGCATCACTGCTGGGGAGGGGCTGGCTGAGAAGGAGAGAAAGATAGGTGGGGGGACTGCCAGGTAGTTGGAACAGCCAGGAGCAGGGAAAGAGGCAGGACACGCCCCATGACAGGGAGGAGAGGCCAGGGCTGCTGAAGGGTGGGGCCCCGTGCATCCCCCCCGCCCCGAGCGCACCCCCCAGCTGCGGGAGCTGAGAGGAGGTGGGAAGGTGGCCTGTGCCAGGAGCAGGGACAGAGCTCGGTTTGGCAAGGGGTGTGCCCACACTAGGCTGGAGGTGAAGGAGGCACAGGCCAGAGAGCAGGCCTGGAAGGAACAGGATGTCTGTGCTGGGGAGGGAGGGAAAGGATGGTGCCAAGACCCAGCTTCCGCCAGTCCCAAGCTCCTCCCTGCCTGGCGCGGTCCCAGGAGCCAGTCCCTGGCCTCCTAGCTACAGTCTACCACAGGCCTGCACAGTAGCTCCCGAGACAATGCCGGTGGTCAGCCATCCAGATGCTTTGCTGTGCCGCCTTCTGCTCCTGGCCCCCCACGACGCTGGGCAGGGGCGTCCTCCTCGGCACAGGTTTGAGTATAAGCTCAGCTTCAAGGGCCCAAGGCTGGCATTGCCTGGGGCTGGAATACCCTTCTGGAGCCACCACAGAGGTGAGGGCAGGGGTGGGCGCCAGCCATGCCCGGGGTCCCTCAGCATGCTGGAGGGGCTGCACCTTGGTGGGGGACAGGCCTGCCAGGGCCAGCCTCTGTCCAGGGTGGGCAGGGCCTGGGGCAGACAGTGCCAGGGACCCCAGGACCCTTCCCAGGCTGGTCTCCTGCTCCACCACCCCTGAGTCTCAGCTTCTCCTCTCTGCTTCTCTGCCCTAGGACTTCTCTCTTCTCCTCTGCCTCTCCTTGGACTCCTCCCCTTCCTCTGCCTGTTGAACCTGTGAACACACACACGTACACATGCTCACACACTAAGTCCCAGGACAGAAACAAGGCAACCTGGACTAGCACAAAGCCCCAGGCTCCTGGTTCCATCCTGTCTGCCTGCGTCATCCATGAGAACCGAGGGACCACCTGCAGGGAGGCATCCTCCTGTGAGCAGGCACCGGCCCTTCCCTGTATGCGTGTTGGGGTTGGAAGCAGGCATGAGAGCATCTTAGCCCATGGGTCTGTGTTCAGGGCCTTCCAAACCCAGACCTACAAAGAGTCTGTCTTCTGCCTGATCTTGTTCCAAAAAGGATTTGTGATGACTTACAAGGACCTATACAATATAGAGTATCTTAAATTAGGAGTGAGCAAGAAGAATGAGACTTAGGGTTAGGATGGGACATGAAATGAGTCCAGTTTCCAAAACATATGCTGTGAGATCTCAACTCTGAAGCTGGGCCATGGATTTAGCCCAGAGCCTCCTAGCAGGCAAAGCAAAGAGAGAAAGCAGATCAGCTATGTATTTCTATCTATGAGACGTAAGTTCTGAGAAACGGCATGATTCCTCACTGAGGCCAGAACAAAATACCCCTTTAAAACGAGACAGGCTCTGTCAGTAGGGTCTTTCTTCCAGTGCTTCACAGGAGGAAGGCACAGGAGGTGGATGGAGTGGGCTGTCTCTACAGCACCAAGCCCGGCCCTGCCTCCGAGCCAGGAGGGCAGGGCCTGTTCACCACTCACTGCTCTTGGCCTTGCCAGGTCTGAGCTGTCACAGATCATGTGGGGGAGCAGAGGCACATTCTCCAAGGTCACCCAGTGTATGCCCATTGCCTATTCATTCGTTCACTTACCCTGATGCTCCTCTGTTCCCAGCCCAGAGACACAGGGCTGAGTCAGGCTCAAGGAGCCGCAGTCTGGAGGGAGGTGGCACGACCAATCCACTTGAGGTTGAATGCATAAGGGTAGGAGGCAGCGGATAGTCCTCGCCTCCTGCAAGTCACTTCAGAGGCAGTGGCAGCTTCCGGGGGCCCCAGGACTTCTGGCCTTGCACCCTCTGAGCCTCCCTGCCCCCATCCTGGCCTTTGCAGGCAAACGGGCGGTGTTGGCATCCTCTGGGAAGTCCTGGCAGGGTCTGGGCCTGGGCCAGGTTCCAGCCTGGCCGGCCGGAGGGCGAGAGGCAGCTGGAGTAGGGCTCTGAATGCCCTTCCTGGTTGCTGCCAAGTCACCTCAGTTTCTCCTCCATTCCTCCCCGTCATACAGCCCCTTTCTCCCCACCCTGCCACCGCCAGGACGCTTCTCACCCACACTCCGCCTGTTCCTCCCATCCCGGGCCAGCTCCCCCCCGCACCCTGGCTTTCATGCCTCCTTACCCTGGAACGCCCCAGGTCCCCTCCCAGCTCCCCAGCCTGCAGTCCCGGGCAGGCTGCCTGTTCTCTCCCGAAGTGCTCGGCTGCGTTCTGTGGGCACAGCACTGCCTCTTGTCACACGGCCTCAGTTTCCTCATCCGAGAAATAGGAGAGGTCAGACACAAACATCTCCCGTGGCGGAAAAAGCTGTACTTTGGAGTCAGAGGGAGATGAATTCCAATCCACTCAGTTCCTTAACTTTTATGAGCCTCAGTTTCCTCATCCGTAAAATGGGGTCTTATAAAAACAGACAATGCAGACCGAGGCGAGGCTTAAGGGAGGGCGCAGGCCGTGCTGGCATCCGTTGCCCTCCCTGGCACAGGCCCCTCCGGCTGCGCTGGGCTCGTTCCCACTTCTCGGTGGATTCCCGCGTCTGACCAGCAGCCATTATCGAATGTTCTCCTTCCTCCTCCCAGAAGCCAGCCCCGACAGTGGAGGGGCGCAGGGGTGTAGTGGGCCGGGGTCCTGAGCTGCCCTGGTCCACAGACGCCATCCCGGGCCTGGGGGAAGTGCGGCCGGCGCCATCCGTGAGGCCCCGCAGTGGCCCTTCTCCGCCTGGGAGGTGGAGACACAGATGAGGGTGACAGAGCCGCGGCGCGGGGAGCCCAGGGCACGGTGAGCGGCCCCACTCAGGCTCGACAGAGGGGGTGCATCAGGCAGGCGGGCAATGAGCCCTGGGGTTCCAGTGTCCTGCAGGGACCCCTGAGCTGAGGGACTGGGAGCCTGCAGGTCGTGTGGTACACCCGGGACAGGGGCCACGTCGGCTCTGTCCTGGGGGCCTTGGCCTCGTGGGACGGCATCGCGGTTTCTTCGACTCCTCTGCCAGGGATACCCAGGTGAGTAGTGGTCTCCTGCCCACCTGCCCGCCCACGCCCTCACCCTCCTCCTGCGCCCACAGCTCAGGCTGATTGTCACCCCCATGCAGAGCAGCCCTGGCATCCACGTGCAGGCCAGTGAGGGCACGCCCCCCTTGAGCAGCTCGGGAAGGCCTGTCGGCGCTGCCCCCCATTCCCGGGCCAGAGGGGCTCCAGCAGGGAGCCCGCCCCTCCTGGAGCTGTCACCCCTGCTGGCCTCTCACTCTGAGCTGGTGGCTGTCCCCCTGGGACTCCCTCCCACTCAGTCTCAGCTGTGGCCCTGGGGCCCCAGGCCCAGACTTTGCTCCCTGTCCCTGGGAACCAGGAACCACCCCAACAGCCTTGGGGGACGGACACCGGCTGGGGCCTGCGGTAAGTGTGTCTGCCCCGTTATCTCCTCTCATCCCCGACACCTTTGACGAGGGGGACGTACTAGTCCCCACTGACGGGTAAGGACACTGGAGCAGAAAGGCGAGGTGACGCGCCCGAGGCCACACAGCTGCGCGCAGAGCTGAAATGCAGCCCAGACTTGCCCGCGGAGGATCCTGCCCTTCCCCGCACCAGCTGCGCCTTCCCTGCCCCACATGACGTGGCTTCTGTGGCTTCTGTCCCTCTCTGGCCTCCAGTGGCCGGGCCGGTTCGTCGGTTTCTCTCAGCAAACCTCCCTCAGCCCGCGACAATCAGGCTAATTGCTGGCGTTTGTGGCGCGAGCTCGCTGTAGCCAGGCCAGCGCCAGGCCACGCGCAGGCCCTGTCTTAGTCACCCTCGTAACACGGGTCCGAGCTGCTTTCGGTTACCCTCGTTTTAAAGACGGGAGCTCTGGGGTTCGGGAGGATGAGGTCACTCGCCAAGGTCACGAGCTCAGAGTGCAAACCCAGGTGGCCGCTCTGTTCTGCATCCCTCTGGGCTGAGGGCGGCGAGGCCAGCTGCTCTGGCGTGAGCCGCCCCCCGTGTCGCAGTGTCTGTGTGTCTGTGGCCCGTGGGCCCGGAGACCCTCGGGGCTCCACACTCTTCTTCTAACTCCCCAGAGCCTGCTACACCGCCCCGTGGGGAAGGTGGGCTGTCACACTGTCCTCAGCCACTAGGACATGTCCCACGTCATCTGCCCGGAGTCTCCTGCCACAGTCTGAGCCACAGTAGCAGGGGGAGGAGAGAAAGCCCTAGCCAGAGCCATGGGGACTCGGAGTTGAGGGGCAGTGGGGGGAAGGGCAGTAGGGCGAGGTGGGGGGTCGGGAGATTGAGGGCAGAAACCCACTGTTGATCCAGGCCTCTGTCCCCCTGGGGAAGCGTCACAGGGAGGCCTCTGTCCCTTCCTCTGTAAACTCCAGCTTCCAGCGTTCCGCCGGGCAGGGCTTGCTCCCCTGCCCTTCTCTCTCCTGCTAAGAGAGCAGACGGCAGCAAGACAGACTCAAGCTAGACAACAGAGACACGTCCCTCACCAGCTCACCCCGTCCCCACGGCAGTGCCACCCCCAGTGGGGAAGCACTGGGCAGAGTGGCTTCTAGGACTCCCCTCACCGGCCAGGCCTTGGGTCCTGTGTGACCCCGCTGGAGTCCAAGCGCCCACAGGGACGGAGGCTGCCGGGTGCTGGGCTCCTGTCGTCGGCACTTCTGGAACCGGCCATGCCCCTTCGGAGTGAGGATCACCTACTGGTGGCAGAGGCTGCGTGTGGGTGGCCCCTCCTGCTTTTGGGGTCCTCAGGTGGGGAGTGCAGAATACAGGGCCCCGGTGACACAGCCGCCCACAGCCCCAGCAGACTGGCGCCTGGACACCACGCAGGGCCCCTGGCACATGCGAGTCAACACCCACCTGGGCTCCTCCGCCCTACACGGACTCCTAACACTCACACAGAGCACACGCACGCACGGGCCGGCCTGAGACCAGGAGTGCAGGTCACCTCCGTGCCACTCTGACACCAAGCCCTGTGGCCGTCTGCCCTGCACGGCAGCCCGCGAGTCAGAGGCGAGGACGCTGCCCCACTGCTGGGGTCGCGGGAGCAGAGGGGCCTCACTCCCTCCACACCCCTCAGGTCTCCTTGAACAGCGGCCTCACTCCCAGCGATCCAGACAAGGTCTGTGTGGATGTGGGGCCCCTGCGTTTGGTCCCTGGAGGTTTCTTTGGGGGTCTCAGCAGCCACCAGCGTGCTGGCAGGTGAGGATCCCACTGGGCAGGGGAGAGCAGAGAGGGGACTAACGCATCTTCCCGAGCACACCTTCCCAAGAGCACTGGGTGCGGGCCGGTCACGTCCCCGCCACGCGTCCTCTCTGGGGCTCTGTAGCCATCGGGAGAAATCACGTCTGCCTTGAGACTTGGAAGTCTCAAATGGGATAAAACAAGAGACGCTTGTATTCCAGTGTTGGCCCCCTACGTGCCCCTAGGTGGGAGCTGTGGGGCAGGTAGAAGAGGGACAGCCTCGAGGAATATTTAGGGAAATGGAGCAAAGAGGAGTGATGCAATAGAGAGCCATGGAGGGTCCTGCAGGTGGACAGCAGGGGAGTGGGCGTCTTTGAATGCCAGGACTTTAGTCTTTAGACACTGGGTACTAGGGAGCCATGGAAGGTTTTGGAGGAGGAGAGTGACATGGTCAGAGCCACACCAGGGAGGCAGCCACTGCGAGGTTGCCTCTGCCAGTAGCATCTGTGCTCTGGGGCCTGAGAGTGTTTCTTACTTTGCACCAGGGCTCTAGCCCAGGGCGTTTTGTGATTGTCCAGTTTTCCCACTCATGGGGCCCACCTCTGCTGAGTGTGAGGTGCGACCCTCACAGCCAGTCCACCCCTCTACTCATCTGCCCCCGACATCCGTCCTGTGACGTGAGCAAGACAAGGGCCCGAGAGCTGCCTCCCTGGGGTGCGATGGGGGCTGGGGTGAGGGCCAAGGGAGGGGCTCTGGGTGAAGTGGTCGTATTTCTTCTCCATCCACTCCCTTCCAGAGGACCATGACGTCCTGTCCTTCCTGACCTTCAGTTTGAGTGAGCTGAGCCCAGAGGTGATGCCGGCCCTGGCCACCTGGGAGAGGCCAGCCAGGGACCCTTCCCTCACCCGTGTCCTAGTGCCCTCAGACCTGCCATTCCAGCCCTCCTCCCACCTGTCCTCTGAGCTCCGCGCAGCTCAGGCCTCGTGTTGGGGCCGGGTCTTCAAGGCCCCCCAGGCTGGCTGGGCCACACTGTTACATCACAGTTCAGAGTGATCAGGGCCGGGTCTTGGAAGGTGCAGGGGGCTGTGGGAGCAGAGAGAGGGGTTCTGAACCCCTCCAGGGGCTCAGGGAAGGCTGCTCAGAGGAGACAAGCCCGAAGGACCGAAGGACCGGAGGAGCAGCCAGAGGGAGGGATGTGAATCTGCAAGGCGCGGAGCTCAGAGGGCGGCGCCTACAGGGCTGGGCGGCCAGGTGAGAGCTCTTCCCTGGCTGGGGTGCATGTCTGGTCAGGGAGGGAGCCTGGCGTGTGGGGGAGCCTCTAGATCTCCCACGGGTTTCCGGCCCCACTTTCTGTCTTCCTCCCACAGCCTCGCCCTCTGCCCTCCCTGGAGCAGCTCTGCCTGCAGGGGCAGCTGGAAGGGCTGCAGGCAAGGCTGGCCCTGGGCACCAGGGAGGACATAAGTCCACAGCCACCCTCTGTGGCTCCAGGAGATGGTAGGGACCCAGGGAGTAGGCAGGTGGGGCGAGGGCCCATCTGAGTCACAGGATCCTCTTCCCTTAGAAGCAGCAGTCCTTTTTTTTTTTTTTTTTTTGAGGCAGAGTCTCGCTTTGTTCCCTGGGCTAGAGTGCCGTGGCGTCAGCCTAGCTCACAGCAACCTCAAACTCCTGGGCTCAAGTGATCCTTCTGCCTCAGCCTCCCGAGTAGCTGGGACTACAGGCATGCGCCACCATGCCCGGCTGATTTTTTCTATATATATTTTTTTAGTTGTCCAGATCATTTCTTTCTATTTTTTAGTAGAGACGGGGTCTCACTCTTGCTCAGGCTGGTCTCGAACTCCTGAGCTCAAACAATCCGCCCGCCTCGGTCTCCCAGAGTGCTAGGATTACAGGCGTGAGCCACCGCGCCGGGCCTAAGCAGCAGTCCTTTAACCAATGGGGAGATGGAGGCCTGAGGAGGCCTTATCTAAGTGGGACCTGGGGCCCAGCTGCTCTGTCCTAGCCCCACCTCCCAACCCAGACGCATTTTCCTAGGGAGGGTCCTGGAGGCAGCAGCCATGCCTTCTGGCAACCCTCTCCAAGATGCCCCCCAGAGATGGGCTGTGTTGCCCCAGCCCAGCTGCCCAGCCCAGCTCTGCTCCAGTCCCCCGGGGCAAAGGCTCTCCGACCTGGAGGAGACGCTGGGCAGACGCAGCCGGCTCCTGCGGGCTCTGCGGGGTCTCGCCAAGCAGTTGGCCCAGGCTGACAGGCAGTGGAAGAAACAAATGGGGGCCCCAGGCCAGGCCTGAGGGAAGCCCAGTGAGGGGCCCTTCTGACATCCAGGGCTCCACCTGCAGGCTTGAAAGAGGAGCAGGCCCTACAATCAGGAACCAGCCCGGACCCGAGTTCTGGAGGGAAGAGGTGAAATGCAGGGGTGAAATGCTGCAGGTCACAGGACAGGACAGGGCAGCATACAGGAGGGCGTCTCCGCACAAGCAAGTGCCCTCAGAACCACAGGGCTGGGGCGGGGGAAAGGAGATGCCAGGTATTTGGACTCGGGTCTGCAGATGAATGACAGAAGTAGACTAGGTGCTAATTTGCATGTAGCTTCACATGTGATTTGCATACAGCTTGCTTAATGCTCAGTTGCATGAAAAGCCTCATTTCAACCCCATTGCCAGCTGGCTCCTCCCCCAGGGAGTCCTGCCTCAGGTCATGCCCAGCCCGGGGGCCTGAGAGCTAAACTCAGCCAAGGCGCTAGGCACTGGGCAGAGGGGGCCCGCAGCTCCCGCAGGTTTTGCTGGGCTCTGACAGCTCGAGGTTTTAATCTGTGTCCTCGGGCCAGAGCAGCTTAGGCTAGGCTGCTGGAGTGGGGAAGAGGGGGCAGCCCACGCTCCAGGGCCAGGCCTCTCTAATCCTGCCTTCAGGCCCTGCACCCCTCCTGCCAGGTTCCATCGGCCCCATAGAAAGGTGGCCACTGCTCCAGGTCACTCAGCGAGGCAGAGACCCAAGCACTGGGTGTTGACCAGCGCTGGCCCCAGCTTGGATGGTGCCCTGGGAGAAGGGGGCTGACAGGACTGGGCTGGATCTGTGCCTCCTTCAGGAGACAGGGCCACTTTTAGAAAGGGGAAGGATTTTGAGAAAGCCCAGGGGTGGCCACTGTTGGGGGACACAATCACCTTTAGGGAGAGGGGTTCAGGAAGGGGGCGGGAAGGAGAAACCCGGACGAATGGGGCTCAGATAAGCTCAGTGTGTCCAGAATGAGGCGGCCCCGGTAATCTGGCAAGGCCTCCGAGAGCAGGATGCTTTGGCATCCCTGTGGAGGGTGGGCTCTGAGAAGACAGGGGCTGTGCCCTTGGCCCTAGACAAGAGGCCGGCCCTCCTGCAGGACTCCGCCAAAGTCAGTGCCCTGCTCCATGGACAGCGGACTCTGCTCCAGACCCTGCAAGAGATGAGGTAAAGGATAGGGTGAGGAGGGGGACCCGGGGATCTTCCCCACACCCGGGGGACCCTCTGCACCTTGCTCCTCTGCCTGAAGTTCCTGCATTCGCCCTTCATTCCTTTTGTCATTTCCTGAGCACCCACCACAAAGCCTGGCAATTGGAAGGGTTGCCGGCAGAGTTAGGTTTGTTGAGTTGACTTGAATTTAGCTGAATCAAATTTAAAGTTTTGAAAGTCCTAGTTCAAGAGCAACTCTCTCTGGGAGAAACCCAACACGAAGGCCCCCATGAGACATTGCCACCTCAGGGAGGGTTAGTAAATCTGAGCCTTCCTTCAGTGACAGCTCCTGGAAGGAGGGGACATTCTGATGGGGCTTCTTGGACGGCGGCCAGCCAAGATCAGGCCAGCTGGAGGAGGTGGTCCCTGACTTCGTTTTGCCCCTTTCAGCCTCCCAGCATCCACTCCAGGCCAGGCCTCTGGGGCTACCCACAGAGCCCTGGGGGTACAGGAAGCCCTGGGGATGCCTGGGAGGAGGAGGCTTCAGGCTGGCTGCTGTGCCTGAAGCCTAGCCCCACCCTGCGCTCCGCACATCTAGAAGCCTGGGCTGGTCCGTGGGATGAGGGAAAGGAGCTCAATCCCCTGGGGGCTGGGGCTGGAGGCAGAGCCCAGGGGAGGCTGGGCTTGAGACCAAGAGCTTTAGGGAGATCCCTACCTGAGCTAAAGCTGTCTCAGGATCTAGGAAGAAGGTTTGGGGTGAAAAGACCAGCCCCCAAGAAGAGGCCCCATGGGTGGTGCCTGTTCCCCACCCATGTGCTGCCCCTGGGGATTATGGGAAATGATTAGGTGATTTGGGTGCAACCAGAAGGGGTAATGAGTCATCTCCTTTGGTTTCCACCCCCACTAGGGATGCAGCAGCCCGCATGGCCTCAGAAGCCCGGGTCTCCCTGCCTGTGGGTGCCGAGCATCATTTCTTAGAGCTGGACCAGATCCTGAGCCTCCTGCGCAAGGACCTTCGGAGCCCAGCGGTGAGGGGGAAGTAGCAGGCTGCATGGCGGCCCCATCCCTGAGGTCCAGGCTCAGCCACGCTTCTTCCAGCGCTCCTGTAGCCCCCAGGCCTCTCCTGCCCTTGCCCTCCCCGCCCAGGACGCCTGGCAGGCACAGCTGTGTCTGTCTGTGTCTGTGTGTGCATGCCCACACGCAAGGACACAGATCTCACCCTCTCTGCCCTCTCTGCTCTCGAGAGAGTCCCACAGACTCAGCATCAGCAGGGCCCTGGAAAGCCCCTGGTCCAACCCCCAGTGGCCAGAAGGGAAATGGGGTGGGCTGGTGGAGTGGGATCTTCCCCACACCCCTGTCTCGTCCTCCTCTTGCCCTCACTCTCACCCGGTCTTTTGCTCACTGCTTCTCTCTTTCTCTTCTTCTGAGCCTTTGGCCCTTGATGATCCCAGGCCCCAGGCCCTCCCAGCTGTCCCCAGATGAAGCCAAGAGAGCTGGGGTGGGGGAGGCAGCTTTGTAGCTGCCCCTTCTCCAGGTTCCTGGATGAGAGCCAGTGGCCTCAAGCCTGGGGAAGGGAAACAGAGCACACGCATGGCCCAGACTCTAGGTCCCCTCCCTCCTTCTGGATGAGAAGCTGAGGCAGGACCTTGGACTTGTCGCTTTCAGAAGGCAGCAGCCAAGGCTCTCCACACATCTGGCTGGCCCCCAGGGGCCTTCTCATGCCTGCGGCCAGGCATCTTCCTCTTCTTCCTCCTCATTCAGACTGTAGGCTTCTGCTACGTGCACTTTAGGTGGGCCTCGCTGTGGGCAGGACTTCCCACTCCACCCAGCATCTCTTGTTTCTGGGCTATAGTCATTCAATTGGAGGGGAGGGCACCGAGGCCCAGAGGGGCCCTGCCCAGTCCCCAGACAGCAAAGAGCACAGGGCAAGCCAGGACCGATTCTTTTTCCAGGGACTACTGCTCAGACATCTGCTCAGCCCCCAGCCCCATCTGGGTCCTTCCCTCCCAGCTCACTCTCTGGAGGAGAAACTGACAAGTAACTGAGAGCATCGCCCCACACGGTCAGCGCCATGATGGCAGGAAGCTCAGGGGCTGTAGGAGTGCAGGAGAAAACCCCTGATCTAACCTGAAGGGACCAGGGAATCAGCCTGGAAGGGACATTTGATATGGGCCATCAAGGCAACCAAGAGTTTTCCAGCCTGACAAGATAGGTAAAAGGCATCGATGCGGGGTAACAGCATGAAAAAAGGCATAGAGGCACGAAAAAGCATAATATTTTGGGGAAAAAGTGGCAAGTTCAGTACTGTTGGAGCAAAGGGCAGGACCAGTTTGTGAAATTGGGCAGAGAATTGAAAAGGTGGGGGGAGGTCACTAACTTTTCTGGGTGGTTATTTACTCAATGAATGTGCACCATTTAGAGATGGGGTGTGCTAAGGGCCTCAGAAATGGGACTGACAGCCCTTCCTGCTGGAATTTCAAGACAAGAAGCGTCAGTGGGGGCTGGGATGGTCCTGGAGGAGGATTGAAGTATGTTCGGCTTTAAAAGGCACGAGGCGGAACGATCACGGGTTATGCGCATGCATAGGGATGCAGGGGTGGCAGTAAGCCTGGAGCCACCTGCGCAGGCCTTAAATGCCTGGGGGAAGGTGTGGACCTTTTGTGGCAGGCCAAGGGAGACAGAGAAGGTCCCAGGGCAGAGGAGACTGTGGTGCAGTGAGTGGAGCCGGGCAACTGTGACAGTCTTGGTTTCAAAAGCCCAGAAGGGAGAGACCCAAGTAATCTCTTCTCTCTCTGGCAGCAGACAGGAGCTGGGCAAGACCCTTTGGGAGCGTCTGTCCACAGGCAGCCTGCCTCCGGGGCCTGCAGCACACATCCCTAGGGCCCTGTGGGCTCTGAGGAGGCAGCTGCTCCCGACCCAGCACGCATGCCTGACCCACCTGGAAGCTGCTGCTCATCCCGGGGAGGCAGGCAGTGTCTGAGGGGCGGGAGAGGGCTTGGCCAGTATCGTCTGTCTCTGGGTGCCCAGCTCCTACCCATACTTTAGCTTTTGGTGAGCTCCCACCTTATTAAAGGTGATTTCCCTTTGCCAGTGCTTTGATACGCTCATTTCCCTCCCAGCTTCACCTTAGTCTCTGTGAAGGCATCCACCTCCTCTGGGTGGGTAGCTGGGAGTGGGCTCCAGGCAGGCAAGGAGGCCAAGGACTTGCCCAATCGCCGAAAGACCAGATACCCCATGGGCTTTGAGCCCTGGACTACAGAGGGAGTCATCACTGTGTATAATTCTGTCCCCAAACTTACCCAGAACAAGGAGCAGCATCTCCCAATGTCCCTCATGGCCCAGCCCGGCCAGCGTCACCGAACTCTGCCTCCCAACTCCGCGCTGCTCCAGGGCCAGCAGGGCAGGCGCGCGGGACAGAGGAACTCTGTGAGGCCACCTCATGGAACCATAACTGGGATTCCCACTCTCGGCCTCAGGCCTCCCTCCCTTTCCCAGCGCCACGCTCTTTGGGCAGCTGCTGGGTTCAGCGGGTTGGCGGGGGGCTAGGAGACAACGCGATGGGGCCCCAGGTTTTTACCCCTTGCTGCTACCCGGATCTTCCAACCGAAAGCCTGGCTATCAGTGACCCAGGAGAGGAGAAAGTTGGAGGAGGGTAGAGAACAGGGCTCTGGGCGGGTACCAGCTCAGCCCCTTTTCCGGGGGAGCGACCCCAGCGCCGCAGGCCCTAATCCGCTGTCAGCAGTGCCCAGTGGAGCCTGGCGTTGAAGGAGGCACGTGGGGGAGGCGGGAGAGGAGCGGGCACGTGGTCCAGCCTTCCCAGCCCCGTGCGTGCCCCCCGCCCCCCGCGAGGAGGGGTTTGGGGAGTGGGGCGGGCCCGGGCGGGGGCGCGCGGCTGGCGGCGCGGAGCGCGGGGTGCCGGCGCGGCGGGAGCTGTCCGCCAGACCTAGTGCTGAAGTGGGCGCCGACGTGCCGGGTGCTCCGCGCGCCGCACCAAGCGCCCCGTGCCCGGGCCGGCGAAGACCATGGCGTTCATGGTGAAGACCATGGTGGGCGGCCAGCTGAAGAACCTCACCGGGAGCCTGGGAGGCGGCGAGGACAAGGGGGACGGGGACAAGTCGGCGGCCGAAGCACAGGGCATGAGCCGAGAGGAGTACGAGGAGTATCAGAAGCAACTGGTGGAAGAGAAGTGAGTGGGATCCCTTCCCGGCTCCGACGACCCCCACCCCCCACCCCCCGCGCGCGCACGCACAGCCTCTTGGCCCACCCCTGGGCCAGCCTCAGGCCCCAATCCCCCTTCCCTACTTTCCTAGACACAGTGAGGGTCTGGGAGGTGTCCTTTAGGCTGCCCCCAGACCTACCGGATCTCAAACCCAGGACCCGCTCCAGCTTCACGCTCCGGCCAAGGGGGAGTGGGGGGAGGGGCGACGGAGCCTGGGACGGGGAGGGGGTGCACGTGCATTTCTGACGAAACAAGTAATCCCTTAATCCGATCTGGTCCCAGCTGCCTATGTCTTCCAACTGGGGCTCCTCTGAGCCTGAGGCTCTTAGGAAAGCGGTGCAGCCACAGGGGCTCAGAATCATGGAGACAGATCCTGAGATGAGGGTGCTCGTAGATAGAGCCTACTTGTGTGCCAGCAGTGCTGGGACCGAGAGGCCCCTGGAACAGAGTTAGCAGCTGGACTCTGGAGCTAGACTACTTGGATTCAGATCCTGGCTTTGCTTCCTATTAGCTGGGTAACTTTAGGCAAGTTAAGCTTTCTGTGCCTCCGTTACGTCTTCTGGAAAATGGAGATGGTAATCATAATATATGCCTTATGAAGATTAAGTGACAATGCATGTAAACTGTTTAGCACAGCACCTGGCACGTGGTAAATCCTGATAGCTATTATTTCACTTAATCCTGATAACAGTTTTGTGAGTTGCAAAATCTTATCCCCATTTTACAGAAGAGGAAAGTAAGTGATTTACCCAAGGACGTACCTAAAATGGTAGTGTAGCTGGGAGGAGAATCCACGTTTGTCTCAAATTCTTTTCCCCACACGACACAGCTTTTCAGGGAGGGAAAGAAAGATGGAGTCGGAGGCCACTAGAGACAAATACTAGAGTCTGCAGAGAGAGTTAGATGGGCTGACTCCCCTTCCCTCCTGGCTCAGCCCAGTGGTGGGTGCAGAGATGAGGACACAGTGTGCTGTGATGGGGAGAGCCAGCAAAGACCAACCTCGGTCGGTCACAAAGAAAGCCCTCGCTACACACAGGCTGACCACACACAGGGACAGGAGCTGCAGGACTCAAAGACCCCTTACACCCTCCCTCGCAGCCCCCCACTTCTCTCGGCCCTTGCAGTGATTCCACCCCTGGTGTCCCCACAGGATGGAGAGGGATGCGCAGTTCACACAGAGGAAGGCAGAGCGGGCCACCTTGCGGAGCCACTTCCGAGACAAATACCGGCTGCCCAAGGTAAGCTGGCCAGGGCTGCAAGGTGCAACTGGGACCCTGAGCTCCCGACCCCGGACTTCTTTGCCCCATTCTGGATACTGCAGATCTCAGCCGTAAGCTCACAGGGAGCTTGGTTAGATCCTTCCCTCTCTCACTCATTCACTTGTTCTTTCATTCATTCATTCACTCATAATTAACCAACCCCCGGCAAGGGCCAGAGCTTGGCGCTGAGGGGAAGCCCAGTTCTCAGGGGACTGACAGGTTTGTGTTTTTGGAACCAAATCCAGGCCTCTTCTCTCCCCCACCCCCACCTCCCAATCCCAGAAAGCAGTAGATCTTACTGCAGGGGTGAGTGCTCTTGGAAAGCAATAGACTTTACTGCAGGGGTGAGTGCTCTTGGGGCCTCTGAACATATATGGAGGGCAGGGTGGGGGAGAGAAGGCCACACCCTCTGTGTGCCAGGTACTTGACCTTCATGTCCTCATGTAACCTCCCAATAATGCTGCCGGGTAGCTGTCGGTGGGGTTGGAGCGGCTGCGGTGCACCTGCGAGGCCATGTTTGCGTGCAGGGCCATCTGGCGGGCCACAAAGGGCAGGTTGCAGTCGGACACGCTGGTGTCCACAAGGCCCTCCACGGCTGGGGAGACTCAGTGCTCACACCTGGCCCTGGGCCCTGTGCGCTGCCGTGGCCTTATAGGTGCGCCACAGCCACTCCAACCCCACCGACAGGTAGCTATCTCTCACGTCTACAAACTGAGGCTCAGAGAGATTAAGGGACTCGGCTAAGGTCACACAGCCAGTAAGTGATGGAGCTGGGATTAGTTCTCAAGCCTGTGAATACTGAGCTTGCCCTTGCTCCAGGACCCCAGGCTGTCTTCCAGGGTATGGAGTCTGCCTACAGACAGCAAAGTACCCCCTTGGCTGGCCCATCGGCCAGAGAGTATGTCTCAGGACCCCCCTGCACCCCTGCTCCCCTAGGCACCGCAGCGCCAGAAGGGCATGTAGGTGTGCTGCTCCTGTTGCCTAAGGAGCACAAGCCACTCCCAGAATAATGTGCCCAGAACTGTGCTAGACTCTGAGGGGAAAATACAAGTCCAAGGCTATAGCACTCCTGACCTTGATCTTCCACTTGAATCGAAAGATCATATATGTGAATATCACATTCACTTATTCAACAAATATTTACTGAGCCCCCAGCTGCCTCTGACTCCCCACAAAGCACAGTTTTTTGGAAGTCTCTTGAAGGGAAAACAGTCCAGAAAGCCTGCCTCGCTGCAAACCCAGCTAGGAACGGATGCTTGCACTAAGCATTTAAAAGACAAAACTCCTGCCTTCAGGGAGCTCTGAGTCCAGTAGAAAAGACAAGACTTGGATGCAACTGAGTAGGACACAAAGTGGAAAGCCCAAGGCCCCCCGCACCCCCAGAGGGACAGGGAGTGGAATAGCCATCAGTAGGTGCTGTCTAAAGAAAGCACAGACGTTGGAATCAGTGACATGGTTTGAATCTAGCTCTCCCACTTCCTAGTTGTATGACCTTGGGCAATGTAAGCTACCCCAGGTTACTTACTTGAAGTAAGTAACTTAAATTTAAAGTGAGTTATTTGCTTAAATTATCTGAGCCTCAATTTCCTTTTTTGTGAAATGAAGATAACCATATACCTGTCTCAGCCAGGCGCAGTGGCTCACGCCTCTAATCCTAGCACTCTGGGAGGCCGAGGCAGGAGGATCGCTTGAGCTCAGGAGTTGGAGACCAGCTTCAGCAAGAGCAAGACCCTGTCTCTACTAAAAATAGTAAAAATTAGCTGGGCCTGGTGGTAGGTGCCTGTAGTCCCAGCTACTTGGGAGGCTGAGGCAGGAGGATCACTTGAGCTCAGTTTGAGGTTGCTATGAGCTAGGCTGACGTAATGGCACTCTAGCCCAGGCAACAGAGAGAGACTCTGTCTCAAAAAACCAAAACCAAAAACAGACCAAAAAAACCCAGTATACCTGTCTCCCAGGGTTACCACAAGAATTAAGAGCAATCAGCTCAATGTCAGCCCTATAATAGGTGTTTGATAAATGGTACCCAACACCACTACTGGTTATATCCTTCAGCATAACAACAGTCAGCACACAACATAGCCGACTGTAACGCTGTGTCCCCTGGGTCTTTTCTCGATTTTTTTTTTTTTTTTTTTTTTGAGACAGAGTCTCACTCTGTTGCCCAGGCTAGAGTGCCATGGCGTCATCCTAGCTCATAGCAACCTCAAACTCCTGGGCTCAAGTGATCCTCCTGCCTCGGCCTCCCGAGTAGCTGGGACTACAGGCACGTGCTACCATGCCCGGCTAATTTTTTCTATATATTTTTAGTTGTCCAGCTAATTTCCTTCTATTTTTAGTAGAGATGGGGGTCTCACTCTTGCTCAGGCTGGTCTCGAACTCCGAGCTCAAATGATCCACTCGCCTCGGCCTCCCAGAGTGCTGGGATTAGAGGAGTGAGCCACCGCGCCCGGCCTCGCCTGGGTCTTTTCATTTTGTCTTCACCCGCAGTGCTAGTCCTTCAGT